AATATAAAATAAAATAAAAATAATAATAAAATTTAGAATATTAAAAATACGTATAACACCAAATATTCTTAGATTTCGTTTAATTCGTAAAATTATGATTATTATCAGTATTTGGAAGATCTTCAGAATTATGTAAATCCTCTGTGTTTTCAGAATTTGCAGAATTCCCAGTATTTTCAGAATTCTGGATTAAGAGATCGTTATATTACGTTATTCACGTGACTTTATTATAACTGGTTAATTGCTCTATTGACAATATAAAAGTGAAGCTTTCTTCAGAAATATTATATAAAAAATTGGAAGTAGACTTTATCTTTCTAGACATGTACTCAGATATGGTATAAATAGACCGGCCACAATAATACATATTTCATCTCCAACTTCGAACGTAAAATTGGCATACATATATCGACAATAAATAAGCAATAGTTGAGTTGTAAAATAGCATCAGCTTCGATCTTTCAAATTGTATACCTCAAAATTACTTTATCTCAGTAATCAAATGGGTTAGACATGATCTCTTGAAAGTTACGCAAATTGAATTTTTTATATGTAGTACTCACAAGGATATTATCACGCCTGATATTTACTCTATATTCGATTAAGATGAAATATGATAGAAATACTTATGAAATATGAATATATCTTATAAGATAAATAAGATAAACATTATACTTACTCATTTTGTAACAATGGTCTAACAACATTTTGTAAAATTATGTATTGAATTTTGCATGACAGGCTGTCATTGAAAATAAAGGTAGCAAATTAATTGCGTTATCTGTCATCTTTTTTTACACTACTTCAGCCCTTAGAAAGACAACCAAATAGGCGTAAAGGAAAAGCACTCCAATATAAAATCAAGTATCCAATCAGACGCAGGAGGCCAGCATCCTCAATATAAACCAGATATCTAAATAGCTGCAGAAAGTCAGTATCAACAATATAGAATTTATCATCTAAACGAATCAGGAACAAAAAGAAAGCGGACACTATTAGATTATGATATCACTATTAAATTAAAACACTATATCCATCATTAGACTATGAAGTCACCGTATTATACAGAAAATAGTTAAAATAATAATATAAACACAAAGGAAATACCTATACGTAGGTTATGAAGTCACTATCAGATTGTAATATTAGATTATAAAATTACCACCAGATTATGTAATTAGATTATGAAATTACCAGCAGACTATAAAGCTACCACTATATTGTGAAGCTACCAGCAGACTATGAAGTTACTATTATATTATGAAGATACTGGTAGACTATGAAGTTATCACTATATTATGAAGATATTGGCAAATTATGAAGTTATCTTCATAACCTAATCTAAGTTGCTGACAACTATTGCAATTAGTTGTAGCATCATCTTTAATACTTCAGCTTTAATTTTAGTTAAAATATTAATTTTATTAATTTTAATAATAAAAACTGGTATTAATTTATGATTCTATTTATTATTTATTATAATAAATGATATACTTTCTTTATTTATATATAGAAAATTAAAAGTTAAATAAGTAATTTAATAAATTTACAATAAATTAAGAAATTATAATAGTAAATTTATAATTAAATATAATTTTTATAATTATTTTTAAATTTTAATTAAATTGTAACTTAATTGTATTATAAGAAAATTTAATTACGTCATAAGTTATAATTCAATTGTAATATTTTTTAATTGTAGTATTTTTTTTATTTATAATTTTTTATTTAAAAAAAATTAAAAGAAAATTTCTTATTAAAATTATGATTTACAGAAGAGGTAAAATTCATATATTAATATTTATCTTTTATAATAACTTATTTTTCTTTTTAATATTTAAAATTCAGTTAATTTAAGAAATTATGATTGCTTAAATTATTAAAATAGCAAAAAGGTAACTTAGATAATTATTCTTTTATAAATAAAGAAAATAATAAAATTAAAAGATAAAAAACTAATTTATTATACTAATGATAAATTAAAATATATTAATACATTTCAGAGAATAATTTAAAAACAGAAAAACCTAATTTAAAAGAACTAAAATATATTTGTATTTATATTTAAATATTTTAAATTATGAAGATTATTGAATATAAACAAATATATTCTTAAATTTTTTAATGTATTTTTAATATATTTTTTTTTAAAATATATTGTCACTATATAATTCTTTAATTTAGGTTAGTTATATCCTTAAGTTTTTACTTAAAGTTGCTAATTGTTATCAAAATATTAGAATTTATCTAACTCTTAACTTTATCAAATTTGCATGTTAAACTTAACAAATCCGTCAAGTATAAAGACTTGAAAGATGATATTATAAAAAAGTTTAATTAAAAAATTCAGATGACGAACTCAATTATAAATAAAGTATAAAGATTACTTTAAATTATATGAAGATATAAAGAGGCAGAAAGATATAAATTTTAATTAATTCTTTTATTAATATTAAAACTTTTGTTATAGCTAACTAATTACTAAACTATAAATTAACTAATTTGATAAATAAAATATAATTAAATAAAAATAATAAAAATATATAATAAATTAAAAATAATAATAAAAATAAAATATTAAAAATAAACATTAAATCAAGTATTTTCAGACTTTGTTTAATTTGTGAGGTTAGGATTATTATTAGTATTTAGAAAATTAGCAGAATTATATAGATCTTTCATATTTTTAGAATTTTTTAATATTTATAGAATTAGGAATCAAAAGATTATTATATTGTATTATTCATATAACTTCATTATTATTAGTCAATTGTTTTGCTAATAACATTGAATATAAGAATATATATTCTTTTTATTTAACTTATTTTTAAAAATATGTATTAATATTAATAGATAAAATATATTTAGATTAATATATATTTAAATGAAAAAATATATTAATAATAATATATTACATATCTTATTTGTAATAACCTTTTTATTTTTTAATAATAAATTATTTTAAATATTTTATAAATAAGATTTTTATATACAAAATTTAATTTGAAAAACTTTTATTTAATATACTAAAAATAGTTTTATAAATAAAATTTTCAGTTATAAATAATTTCTTGAATAAAATTGAGATTATTACAGATAAGATGCATAATTCATATTTACAATTATGTTTATCCTATTTAAATTATTATATATAATATTTTAAATAAAATTTATAAAAAATACTTTATATATCAATAATAAATAAATATTAATATTTAATTATAATAGATATATTTTTATTTATTTTAATTTGTATTTTTAAAAAATTTTTAACTTGAAAAAATTATAGTATATTTAATAAAGTTATTATTGCAATATATTTTCATATAATCATTATTATATTAATAAATTGCAGGAAATTTAAAAAGAATTATAATAAAATTTTAATTATATATCTGATAAAAAGTTATTAATCATAATTTAAAGATTTTTGTTTGTCAAATAGGCTTATAAATAAATACAATTTTTTTTAAATTCAAATAATTATTTAATAAAATAATTTATTTAATTTTATAAATTTAGCAATTTATATAAATATTAATAAGTTAATTTAGAAAATATTATAAATTTTAACTAAATTGAGAATTATTAAGCATTTTTTGATAATAATTGGTAATACAATAAGGTTTTAAATATTAAATATTATTGATTTTAATTTAAAAGTTAAAATGTAATAAAATTTCAATTTTGTTAAAAAATACTCAGAATCTAATTTTCTTAATAATCATTTATATTGTAATATTTGGTTAAGAAAAGATAAAAAGCTAGACTTTTTAGACTAAACTGAATTGAAAAGAATTGATCCAATTTTAAAATTTACTAAAATCCAATATTTTTTTAGATTATGTCTTTACTAGTAAAAACGTACTATGATTCTATTATTTTTAAAGTAAATTATCTTTTATATTTGGCCAATCAGATTATTTTCCGCATACTTACTATATATAGCACATATATTCATAAATGCTTCTCTTATATACAAAATAAAATCAAAGAAACTTTGGAAACGCGTGTCAAATAAAAGAACGTCATTACATATAGTCAGACACATCAGTTGATGTTATAATTTCCGCGGACAGAAAAGAGGCAAAGAGAAGTGGAACAATATGAACAATATTATGCAAATAATCACTTTTATCATCCAATAATTTTCTGCCAAGTTTTGTGCATCGTTCTGCATGTGACATTCAGGTAATCCTTTTTTATCTTTTTTATCGAATAAAGAAAATTCTGTTTGTCTAACATCAGTTGACATATGATAAAGAGTTTTGAGGGGTGGGTATGTGTGTCACTCGACTGGCATTATCTGTTAGATCAGTACTTTGCATAAATTAATTTATCATTATCTATCAGATATTTATAGTCCCACTTTTTGAACAAATTTTTTTTTTCACCTTTCCACGTCCTTTCTTTTCATATTTATTTTTAACGATTTTATTTCTTCTTTGCTCTCTAAAGATAAATAAAAATGGATGGTATTCAAGCTAAACTTAAGTATTATAATGCTTTAGCTGATAAGGAACTTTCTAAATATGAACAGCTTGACAAATTGGAAAAATATACCAATGTTCCAAAGACCTATATGGCCGCTGGTGCTGCTGGTGTCGTGTTCTTATTGATCTTTTTCAACTTCTGGGGACAATTATTGTCTAACCTCATTGGCTGGGTTTATCCCGGTATGTGTTATCAAGAAAATATTTTGTACCATTTCAATTTATCAATTAAATAATTTTTTTTTTTTTTTTTAGCTTACATTTCATTCAAGGCAATCGAAACTACAGACAAAGCTGACGACACTCAATGGTTAACATACTGGTAAATTTTAAAATGGATCGATTCGTTTCTTGTTTGGATTTCTTTAAATTTCAATTCAGATTTATTAAACTGTGAAACTTAACTGGATCAGGACCGTATTTGGATTTGTAAATATAATTGAATTCTTCTCAGACACCATCCTTTACTGGATGCCGTTCTATTACTTATTCAAAACCGTCTTTTTCCTCTGGTAAGTTCACGACTACTGAGTCCTTTTATCTGTAATATCCAATATTAAATTTCTTAATCCATACAAATTTTCTTTTATTTTTCGCAATAAAAAGGCTTTTCCTTCCACCATTCAAGGGTGCACAAGTCATTTATTCCAAATTCTTGAGACAAGTTCTTTTAACTTATCAAAATGATGTGGATAAAAATCTTAATAAATTGCATAATAAAGTTAATGATGCCGCTAGGGACCTCATGAAAGAAGCTATTGATGCAGGAACTAAAGTTGAATAGGTGGGGGTTTACTATTTAAAAAGAATAAAAAAAAGAAGGATAATAATAGTAATTGTATTAAATATTGTTATGTAAGTAACTATTATTTTATTCTTTATTTGTTTTTATTTAATTTCCTGTACGTATCATATAACTTTTTTTCTCAATAAAAAGTATTGTAAATTATATAATGACTATGAGTAATTATGAAAAACATTGATAATAAAAAATCGTTCCTTGAAATTTTTAAGATGTTTTTCAAAATTTATTATTAAAACCTTTATACGACGGTCCTATTTTAGTCAAGAATTGTTGTGTTAATCTCAAAAATCATAAAATTTTATCAAATTACGAACCATTATTATGCATTACCTTCTATAACCCTTTATTCCAATATGTACTTTTCCCGAGTAGACGCTTCTTTGAAATGCTGCCATGCCATCATTGTACAAGTGAACACGAATTTATAATTTACGATTTGAATCTTGATTTTGTATCTAACTTTATATCAATTAAACCATCATTTTGGATAAATCATATCATTTGATATTTATGTGATTATAATCGGTAAAAGGAGTCTTTTGAAGTTGAAATCATATCTCGAACGTCTGTTGTTTCACGAATCCTCTAATTCTCAATGTCACTTCTACTATAATGTTTATTCATGTAAAGAAGGGGCTTGGTGAATGAATTCGTTACGGATTCACTACTTGGTTTGTTATTCGGAGAAGGCATAATGTATCACGATATAATTTCGCAAAATGTGATAGTGACACGATCCACGTAAGTTCATTCAACTTCATAGACTCGTGACTCGTAACACCTGAAAAAAAAATATCTAAATTTTCCGTATTTTTTTTTTTTTTATATTTTATATTTTCTATACTTTCTTTATCTCTCAACTAAGTTTCCTTCCTTGAGATTTGCATTAAACCAAATGAGTTCGTCAGACTCCAATTCGTTCTCTAACCTTTCTACGCCGTCAAATTCTTTGCCGACAAGTAATTCTCACCGGGAATCTTTGATATTTGATGAATATTCTGGCTATTCGGGTCCCTGCCCAGCATGTAACGAACATATGAATTCAATTGATCAACTCAACCGTCATTTGGACGACATGCATACGGATACTTCTATAGACCAGAAAGATGGCATAATTAATTGGTTTAAAAATGCTCAAAGCAACATTATGAAGCCACTTTCAAAAACGAGATTGAACAATATCTCCAACCTTCCGCAATTCGCCATGAATAAATTTAATGAGATTGATAACGGATTAGACCAAAATTCAGAATTAGTAACAAAAGCTCATTGGAAAAAAGATGGTGAAAATATCGTATGCTCGAATTCTACTTGTGATAAGTCATTGAATATTAGAAACGGCAAACACAATTGTCGAAAGTAGTCATCATGATCAAAACTCGTGTATTTTCATTCGTTGATATATTTTTAGTTTCTATTATATTTTTCATAAAACAGATTAATTGATTCTTATTTTCTCCTTCTTCCCCCCCCCCCCCACACACACACGAATATAGATGTGGCTATTTCTTTTGTGATGATCACTGTCGTTTATCTATTAAATTGAACAGGCAAGCACAGCATGATCCTGTCAATGGATATTGGTGCAGAGTATGCAATAATTGTTTTATTTCTCGAGAGGGTTATTTAGATACTGAAGGTAACGTGATATTTCATATTATTAAAAAAATGCATCATAAGGCGTTGAATTTTACTATTTGAATAGGTGTTATAAGAAGTCATACATCAGCATTCGTTGAATTTCGAAAGAAGGGGATTGAAAGAACACATTTAGAAGGGAATCGGCTTGAGAAGCGCCTGGAAAAGGTCTAGCAATATTTGCATAAGTTACATTCATACATTTGTCTTAATATATATAAATAGATTTGTGATCTTCACATGCTTTGTCTGTCGCACTTAGCTTGCAAAAGTGTACGCTTTGCAGGTCAAACAGGTTAATTCTACACAAGGAGGATTGACTCCTCCTTTGACTGCAAAACATCGAAGAAGAGGTGGAATTTCTTTTATATTATATACTTTACATTTTCTTTACTTAGTTTTTATATTGACATTATCGTCTTTTTTTTTTTTTTTTCTAAAATTAGCTTCCGAGCAGTCAATTGTTAAATGGGAGGATGATGCGTCTGTGACAAATTGCCCGCTGTGTGGGTATGTGATAGTTTCGATTCCTTTGTCGAAGACTTGTTAAATTTTAATCATGTTAAAATAATTGTTCGTTCAGAACGTCATTTGGCATGATAACCAACCGCAAACATCATTGTCGCCTATGTGGACGCGTTGTTTGTGAAAAATGCTCATCGAAAATTTCTTTGAACCTACATAATTCAGGTTTGTCTAATCATATTACTATAATCATTAATTCAGTTACTTTCCATAAAGTTGTATTAATTTATAATATTATAGAAGTAGCAGATCAAGAATCTGTCGGCAAAATTCGCTCCTGTAAAGAGTGTCGCACTGCTGTGTTTAGGTATTCTAAATTACAAGAAGAGTATTGAGAAATCGAAAATCTTGTTTTTTACTTTAATTAATTTCACATACTTTATTACAGGCGAAAAGATTATAATGAAGAAATGGCAAGGACACCTCCAGTTGTTGCGTTATATCAGGTGGATGCATCATTCTGTTCATTTTTCCTCTAACCAATAATAATATTATGCTTTGAAACTTTATAAGATTACTTTTCACCAAGGAAATAAATGTGTTCGAGTAAAGCTACAAAAAAAGTTCTTTATTTGGGTTTAAAACTAACAATGATCAAACTTTATTTAGCAATTAATGAAAGTCAGATCTACTATTGACTCTACATTGCCTAAATTTCAAGACATGCTTAATATGTTAAAGTTGTTATTTAAATTTTCATTTACATAATTTTATATAATATGAACGTTAATATATACTTTATATTTTATTTTGTAGTAGACAGGAGATAGTTAATCAAACACATGCGGATTATCAAGTAGCGGCACGAACGCGAAAAGAATTATTGGAAAATTTTGCACAATTCGACATGATTAGCAAAAAAATTAATTCGCTACTTACTTATTCTGAATCTGAAAAACGTCTGCAATCTAATATTCACCTCGCTGCTAATCAATATTTACAACAAAGCATGCTGCCACTTTCAGTATTACCTAGGATTTTCAAAAAAGACCAAAATCAACAAACTAAAGATCAACAAATCGATGACGATGATGATGTCGTACTTGCTTTTGCTAATGGTAGACCTAGATCACTTTCAATGTCTTCTACAAAATCTGTAAAAGAAGAAAAACAACTTCGCCAACAGTTAGAAGCATTTTTGGAACAAGAGAAAAATTTAGAAGTGTTTATTCAAGAGGCTACTAGAAAAAGAAAATTTGATGATCTGAAAACATTAAAAATTTCTTTAGATGAAATAAGAATGGAAATTACAAAGAAAAAGTCAGAACTTGGTGATTTATGGCCTTGAACTTTATTTTTAAATCGAAAGTTATATACGTGTATATATTAACTTGAAAAGACAAGTTTTTTGACATTAACTTATTTGAGGATTTTTTTAAGTGTAATTTATTGTAATAGGGGTATCATGAATATTTATTATTCTTTATTATTACTACTTTTAATATATTATATATATATAATAATTAATATATTATTTGTATTAATATATTATATATATAAATTTTTTTTTTTTTTATTATCGCGTAATTAATTCATTATAACATTATTATTATTTTTATTTTTTTTTAATTATTTTCTCCATCGTTTTAATTTTTCGTATTATTATATTCTTCGATTGATCCATATTCTACTTCGCATCACAATTTTCTATTGACAAAAAGAAAAAAAAAGAAAAGAAACTAATCGATCATCTATTAATGTATATACACACATATATAATATTATATATATAATCCTTTTTTTTTTTTAATCTAATAATCACTCCAATTTTTTCTCTCTCGCTTATAAAAAAATTTGTTTGATCCAAAGAAAGAAAAAAAAAAACAAAAACCTAAGATTAGTTTTGAAATTATGCTTCATTAAGTTTATTTTTTATTCCGTTTTTTACGTTCTGTTAGTAAGATTATATATATATATATCGTTTTATGATATCGACACAATATGGTTTTTCTTTTAAAAATAAATAAAGAACATTAAGATTTAATTATGGAAATAATCAATTGAACCTTTAGATCCATATTAATATGGCATTATTTATTAACCGATATTATATATATATATAAATATATAAATTAACAAAATCTTTTTTTTTCATATTATCATACAAATATAAACATTTAAATACATCCTTTAACACAATAAATGTTCTTTTTTTCTTTTGAAAAATAAATAATTATGTCTCTGCAATTAAGTTACTACCCTTTAAAAACTTAGTTCTTTACAATAAATGAGCATGTCTAAAATTTTCACCGGCATAAATTGCTTCAGAGCCTAATTCTTCTTCAATACGTAATAATTGATTATATTTTGCTAGACGTTCCGAACGACAAGGTGCTCCAGTTTTAATTTGTCCAGTACGAAGACCCACAACAAGATCTGCAATAAAAGTATCTTCGGTTTCGCCTGAACGATGAGAAACCATAACACCCCATCCATCACTTTGTGATAGTTTAGCACTATTATCATTCATTATATATATATATATAAGAAAAAGAGTTGTTTAGTAAATGAAATTTATTATCCATGAAAGAAATTTGTTTGTGAATGTGATAACTTACGCCTTAATAGATTCACTGACAGTGCCAATTTGATTAACTTTCAAAAGAAGTCCATTACAAGCCTTTTTCTCAATGGCTGTAGTAATTCTTTCAGGATTAGTAACAGTCAAATCATCACCAACAATCTGAATGTTTACTGAAGAAACAAGATGACTCCAAGCATCCCAATCATCTTGGTCAAAAGGATCTTCAATCGAAACAATTGGATATTCATTAATAAATTCAATGTATAATTTAGCAAGTTCAGTTCCAGAAAGCCATTTAGATTTATCAGAATCCTTGTTCTTAAAGTCCAAATCATAAGAACTTTCTTTATAAAATTCAGAGGCAGCTACATCCATACCGATTTTCACTTTATCAGTGTAACCAGCTTTTGAAATAGCTACCTTGAGCAATTCAAGACCTTCTTTATTGTCTTGGATGTTTGGAGCAAAGCCACCTTCGTCTCCTACATTAGTAGCGTCTTGACCATATTTAGCTTTGATCACAGATTTCAAAGAATGGTAAACTTCCGAACCAATTTTCATGGCTTCAGAAAAAGATTTAGCGCCAGTCGGAAGGATCATAAATTCTTGCATGGCAAGTTTATTACCAGCATGAGATCCTCCATTAATTACATTAAAAGCTGGAACTGGAAGAACAAATGGTTGTTTACTTCCAGCAAGCTCAGAGATATGTCGATAAAGCGGAATGCCCTATGATAACAACGCAATTAATAATGGCTTAAATAAATTAGGAATAAAAAAAAGAAGATAATATACACATTACCTTTTCTGCGGCGCCAGCTTTGGCAACCGCAAGTGAAACACCTAGAATAGCGTTAGCCCCAAGTTGTGATTTATTCTTGGTACCATCCAATTGCAAGAGAAAGTCGTCAACAGCATTTTGATCTCTTACATCCAAATTGGCTTCAACTAATGCTGGTGCGATTTTCTCATTGACATTGATGACTGCCTTTGAAACACCTATATTTATCGATTATTTTTTTATTATGATTATATATTTTTTTTTTTTACAAAATAAAATAATGAAAATTGATCAAATTTTTATTATTACCTTTGCCAACATAATCTGTTTTGACGCCATCACGGAGTTCTAAAGCTTCATGAACTCCAGTTGAGGCACCAGAAGGCACAGCAGCGCGGAAAACACCTAAATAAATAAAGTAACAAAACTTTTCTTAAATAAAACTTTGTATAAAAAATTGTTTATTATGAATAATTTTTATACCTTTCTCAGTGGTAAGGTCTACTTCAACAGTAGGGTTGCCACGAGAGTCAAAGATTTGGCGGGCGTGAACTTTAGTAATTGCCATTTTTATTTTAGAAAGTATTTTATTAAAGACGAGGTGTTTAAAAAAGTAAAGAAAATCAATTTGATAGGGTTTTTATATGAAAAAGTTAACATTTTTGGAAATAGTTTAAATGATTAACAATCTAATCAAAAATTTATTCCTAAATCTATCAGTCGATGATCAGTTCATTTTCGCATGCATTTATTTTTTTTACTGAAAAAAAATTTGTGTTTGGGAAATAAATAATAAATAAATTAAAAATTCTATTTTTTTATGATCTGATTTTTAGTTAAATGTCTATCTAACATATTATTGAAATGTTTCCTGATTATTATCCCATACACTTTCTTCATCAACATTATTATTTACATCAGCTCCTTCTTCAAACATTTCCCATTCCTCCTCTTCCGTAAAAGCAGGACTATATTTATAATTCCTCATCCCTCTTACAAGACTTCTCCTACCTCTTCTATTATGAGGAGCTACAAACCTTCCAAGCCCAATTGCTCTTAAAGTATCTCTTCCGACACAAGAACCACAGCAAAATATCCAACATATTCCACTAAAGAAAACCAAAGCCATAAAAAAAATCAAGACATAAAGCATAGGTTCATCCTTGGTTTGTTCTTGGATAGAAATTGGTTGTGTTTCCAATGAAATTGATACTGGAAATGTCATTTTTTTTTTTTTGTTTAAAAAAATTTTTTTTCAATTTGTATTTTGAAATTTTAATTATTTAATAATAAATAAATGGAACGAATATATTTATTAATGAAGGAAATTTTTGATTTGAATAAAATTTTTTTTTATTCGAGGCAAGATTCTTTTTTTTTTTAAAAAAAAAAAAATAATTTGAATGTCCTTATTTATAAACAATACATTTAATATGTAAATATATATTAAATTTAACAGTGTACAATGCATGTGAATCTATCAAATTAATTTCTCAATAAATTATAAACTCACCAAATAAAAAATAATTGTAAAAATGGCAACTTCAGTTATAATAGGCATCGGTAAATTGAAATACTTTGTTTTTCTTCAACTTTCAAATTGTTATTTATCTTCAAAATACCATCTTGTAGATTTCGGAACGTCTTCAAGCACCTTTGCGTACTCCCACAAATCAGATAACGGTTCATCGGAAATAGTTACAAATGATATATGGCCACAAGAAGGTCAACATGGCGTATTTAAAACCAATACAGTTCTTCTTTATAATACACAAACTTGGAAAGTCGTGGGATGGGGCTCAAGTGCAATAACGCGTCAGGAGAAAAAGAAAAAGAAAAATAATTTTCTAACCGACAACGGATTAGATCCGACGATTCCTGTATCTCTATTTAAATTACATTTTGGAAACATAAGAGAGCAAGATAAACCGATCCTTCCTCAAGGTCTCGATTATAGACGGTGCGTGATTGATTATTTAGCAGAAATGACAAAGGTAAATTGGATAAACTGGTGGTTTTCCTTTTTGCTCTGGCATACGTGATTCGTTTTCATCATTTATAAAACATCTAGTTAATTAAAAACACGATAGCAACAAGGTGGCCAGGTTAATATTTTGATCTTTATTATTTAACTTGCAAAAAATATATTAAAAAAAAAAACAAATATAATTCTTTAATATTAGGAATAAATTTTTATAGAAATGTGTTGATCGTCTTAACAGGTAAGAATAAAATGTGATTTTCACTCGCATTTATATAATCTATATTAATTCAAATTCATGATTTATGATTAGTTCCGTCTGATTTTTCGGAAGCGGCGAAAGCGACTATGCGCGAATGTGCGTGGCGCGCTGGATTGCTGGAGTTCGCTAATTCACCCAACTTGGAATTTACGACTGAACGTAAGTGTATTATGAAATAACATTTTTTTCTTTTTAATTTTTATTAATTCGGTATATGTGATTAGCTGAGGCTGCTGCCGTACATTGCATAACTTCACTTGGACGATTAGGATTAAAAGCAAAAGGTATGTGACAATAATTACAAATGTATATATATATATCTATCTAATTTAATTTTAAATTAATGATACAGCCAATTTTATGATAGTTGATTGTGGAGGTGGAGCAGTAGAATTGACAATGAGAAGATTAATAACTCATAATCAAATTAGTGAAATAACCGAAAGAACTGGAGATTATTGTGGAAGTACTTTTGTTGATAAAGAATTTTTAAGCTTCCTTTATCAAAAATATAATTTATATCAACCCATACAACAGCTTTATTATCATCACAATGATCAATTTCAATATTTATTACGAGAATTTTGTAGCAAGGTAAAATTATCATTTACGGGAAATCCTTCAGATTTTCAAAATGCTTATATAGATTTAGAAGATGCTTGTCCAAATTTAATTTATTATGTTAATGATGAAATGACAAGGCAAAGAATGGAACGAGAAGAATGGATAATTGAATTAGATTTTGTAAATGTTAAAAGAATGTTTGATCCTGTTATACAACGGATTAATTGGTTAATTGGAAATCAATTGAATTCTTTTAGACAACAATGTTCGGCTATTTTTCTGGTCGGAGGTTTCAGTGAATCTCTTTATCTAGTAAGAAGTGTTAAACACGCTTTTAGTCAACAAGTTCCTATAATTGAGGTTCCTTCTCAGCCTATAACCGCCGTCGTTAGAGGTGCTGTAAAGTACGGATTAAATATGAGAACCATACAAACGAGAATTTTACGTTACACTTATGGCGTACAAGTTTTAAAGAAATGGAAAAAAGGAGAAGATCCTCAAAGAAAGTTACCGAATGGTTTAATGTTAGCGTTTCATTTGTTGGCAAAGAGAGGAACTGAAGTTAAAGTCAATCAAACCTTTGGTTATATGGCTAAACCAACTAATTCCAATCAAGTTGATATGAGATTCAATATCTATGTTACGACAAATTTTGATGCTAAATATTGTGATGAACCTGGTACAAAGCTTTTAGGTACTCTTAAAATAGATTTACCTGACAAACAATTTTGTAGCAAGAGAAAAGTAGAGTTTGATCTCACATTTGGCACGATGGAAATTAAGGCAACCGCCAGAAATAAAAAATCTGGACTCGTTTATCAAACCACACTTAATCTTGATTTTTAATTTTTATCACTTAGACATCACAGTAAATAATTATTTAATTACTTAATATTAGTAATATTTAGCATAACTTATTTTACAACTTGAAAAAAAATTTTTTTTTTCTATGGATAACGCGAAGAATTCGGTGGCGAAGTTGCCTCTTTTGAATCCTGTTTATTCATTTCAAATTGTGTCAACAATTTAAAGTCTTCCATATAAGCCTCAATCAAGTCTTTATGTATCTAATTTTATAAATATTGTTTTAGAATCATTTCGCGGGATTTCATTTGCTTTAAATAATACATTAGACTACATTTACCTGTGTGGGTGTTCTTTGGGTGATCTTAATGTTTTTTGCCCTGTAAGATTTTCTTCTACGTTTATAATCGCGTTGTTCTGCTAATAATTCTTCTCGTGATTTTTGTCCTTGATTCATTTCTATAAATTTGCAAGATGTAAATAAAAAAAAAATGAATAAGCAAAAAAAAAAAAAATATCAAATATCAAGATTTGGAAAGTAACCTTTCATTTTTTGTACGGCTTCCCAAACTTGATCAAAGTTTTGATATAAATCTTGTTTTTCTTGTTGAAGTTGTTCACGAATTTGATTACTCATTTCAATTTCACACTCATATTCTTGCAACCTTTGATCAACTGTTAAGCTTCGAACATTATTGTTTGATAAAGATCCTTCTTTGATTTCTGGTATTTTTATAATTAATCAGTAAAAAAAAAACGCGTCAATCAAGTAAAAATATTTATTAATTATGAATAGCAAACCTTTATTCAAGGATATGACAGATGAGGTATTTTGATAAAAGAAGTTTGAACTTGGTAATTGTTTTCGCTAATTTTTTTTTTTTTTTTTTTTGGTGAATTCATTGAAAATTAATCTTTATAATTAGAAAATATTTAATCACATACCTTTCCTAGTTCATTATGTATGCCATGAAATTTTAATTCGCATTTCCGATAATGCCGTTCAAAGGACTTTGAGGGAATCTTGTGTGCTGGATTAAAAGGACAATTCACTAAAGCATTGACTCTCTTTGGAATGATAAAAAAAAATTAAAAAAAAATTTAAAGATAAATTAGAAATTTCAAGCAAGCCGTTTATAATAATTATGACAACCTGTTGTTGAATTTTAACGTTTTCTAAATCCCAAGATAATTCATTTAGCAATTTTTCGAATTGTTTATCATACTCATTCAACTTGGTTTCATAAGCCTCGATTTGGTTGAGTCGACATTGGGAATAACCTTCCGAATTTGAATTGGACATTTTTTTTATTTTTATTATTACTAAATGAAGTAATCTTTCTTGGCCCGTCCAAAATGAACGCGATCTCTATGTTTGTCACGTGAATTTCATTCAACATCAGTGTCGATCTTAAAAAAAAATTTTTTTTCATCGGATCATTCTTCCTATGTCTTTATCCTTATACTTTATTATTAGTGAAACGCGTAAACAACAAATTTTTAATAATTTAATTTGATATACTTTATATTTTATAGAAATTAATTATCCCTTGACAAAAGAAATATGGACGAAGTTAATGTTGAAACGTGTTATAATTTATCTTATTTCAAAGGTAAACCATCTTAACAAACTTTTTTTTTTTCCTAATGACAAAAAAAAAGAATTAATTTGATTTTGTGATTTAGACCTTATGAAAGAATATAGAAAGATAGACGATAATATCATGCTAAGGATGAACACCACTAATACGCATTCGGAAGCCGCTTGTGCGGATTTTTTCAAACAATTATCCGATGCTTATCAAAAGAGAGAACGGGTTATAAATAAATGTCTAAATGTGTATAGTCAAATTTGTTAAGATACATTTTTTTTTCTTTTATGTTATTGAGTCGAATTAATAAAATGTAATTTAGATTTTAGATGCTGAACTTGAAAAAAAGCAAAAAGCGTTAGATGATGATCCATTTGATAACAACTTAAAAAATCAAATGTTTGTTGATGAATCAAAGGTAATAATACTATTATTATTATTAGATGTTCGCGAATTTTTTTCTTATAATATCGCGATCTTTTAATTTATTCGAAATTTTATTTTTGAATTATATTGAAAAGCGAAGAATGATTAATAATGAATTGACAGTAGAAGATATTGTAAGAGAGAGAAGTCTATCAGTATTTAAGAACAAATGTCGTATATTCCATATGCCAAAAGAATTTGAGTATTTCATTAATAAAAGACGATAAACCTTTGAAACATAAAAATAAGAACATTCACTTTTTAATCCTATAGTAAATACTATTGTAATATAATAATAAAAAAAAAAAAAAAAAAAAAAAAAAAAAAAAATTGTTCGAAACAATAAGAAAATTCCTTTTTTTTTTCTAACTGTACAAATAATTGTGATAATACATTTTTATATTACCGTGATCTTTTAATGGTCAATGTGTAAAAATTTACATTCATCACCCATATTACATTTTCCTCGAGTATAATACCAACATTCCGAACCTCTACCCTTGTTTGGTCTAATCATCCCACCGTCATTTCCTCTATTGGAAGGTTGAAAGTGCTGTTGACTAGACGGAGGTGGAGGTGGAGGCTGATGTTGATGAAGCTGGGGTTGATGGGATTGAAGTTGATGAGGCTGATGGGATTGTAGTTGATGAGGCTGATGTGGTTGATGTGGTTGATGTGGTTGTAGTTGATGAGGCTGATGGGATTGAAGTTGATGGGGCTGATGAGGCTGAGGTTGATGAAGTTGAGGTTGGAGTTGGGGTTGGGGTTGGGGTTGGTGTTGAAGTTGAGGTTGAGGTTGGATTTGAAGTTGAGATTGGTGAGGTTGGTGAGGTTGGTGAGGTTGTGGTTGGTGATGAGGTTGAAGTTGAGATTGATGATGTTGGGGTAGAATTTGAGGTTGAGATTGAGGTTGAAGTTGAGGTTGATGAGGTTGAAGTTGAAGGGATTGGGGTTGAGATTGGGGTTGATGAGATTGTTGCGATTGTTGTTGAGGTTGATAACGTTGAGGTACAATATTTGGAGTTTGATGATGTAAAGGTGGTGGTGGAGGTGGTGGTGGTGGTTGATAATGCATCACATTTCCATTGAAACCCCAAGGAGCAATCGGTGGTGGCGGTGCGGCTTGAGACTGTGGCGGTGGCGCAGAGAAAGACATCATCATCCCCCTTACATTTTGATCTGGTACATTAATTGGTATCATCATCGACTTTTTATTTTGCATCGCTTCCCATTGCGGATAAATTTGATAAAGAACACGCAATACTTCTTCGTTATAACCACCATTCAAATCCAATATATCAATATCTTTATAACCTTCATTTTTAATATTTTCTTTATTTGCTTCAAGAAAAAATTCCTTGGGTGGTACTGATTGACCGAATTTATTTATTTGAGAATTTTGAAGTGGTTCTGCGGGAGAGAAAGGAACTTGATCTGAAGTTATATATATGGTTTCAAGTATCTGCCTCTCTCTTTCTTCTTGAATCTTAGCTTCATCACTTTCAGCAAACTTCCGTTTTTTTATTTTTGGTCTAGATGAGAAATCAATTGTAATTGGCGTATGCCACTGAATAGCTGGTGCTTTGCGAACTCGCTTGAAGGCCGCGCGACCTTCATTCCTATCAAGATCTCGAGCATTTCCGTAGTGATGTGGAGTGTCGGCAGTTGTAGGCTCCTCATCGGTGTCCTCAAGTTCCATTATTTCAAATAATTTTACTTTTTCAAGTAATCCATCCGGAGCAAATGTGACCCGCTTCCTTTTTTTAGAAGGAATAGGTAATGTTTCAGGTTCTTTATGTTTTTGAGTCGAAGGACCTTCTTCAGTGATTTCCATCAGTTGACTCTGTGTAACCTGTTTTTCAATTTTAAGTTTTGAAGGTGGTACCAATTTCGATGGATCCTTCTGAGGTGGTCTAGGTTGTCTTTTTGACGCGGACGCAGCTAAATTGCTAAGCAATTGAGTAAAAATGCTGGGTTTTTCATTATCATTCTGCGCGTTTCCATCTGCAACTTTTTTCCTTTTTTGGTCAGGCTTAGGTGGCCTTGCCAATTCTTTACCGCTTGAAGATGAAGTCTGACTTGTCGATGATTTTACTAAATCTGACTTGGAGCCAACCTTTTGAATGATCTTTTCCGCTTTATCCAGCCTTTTCTTTTCTTCCAATGCTTTCTGTTCTTTTAATTGTTGTTGTTCTTCTGATAGTTTTTTCTCTTCAACCCATTTGTCAAGAAGTCCTCCAGCTAACTTGGCCACCCCATCTATAGTGGATTCTTTCACATTTTTGTTATAAATAACCGTCCCAAGACCGCTAGAACGAGACAACTTATAATCTATAGGCAGCAAACTTACAATCTCGAGTAATTCCTTTAAATTATTATTATCTTCAGTTTTTGTAGCTTCTTCCTTAATCCAATTTCTCAATATATAACTGACGCGTTCACGTACAAGCGATTTCAGAATCTCCGGATCATGTGTTTGTTTTATAATGTGAAGGATTACACCACGCGTATTTGGGGAAGTGTCTTTAACCTTTTTAAGAAAATCTCTAACTACTTCAGCAGATATTAAACCTAAATCAGGGTTCAAGTATGACATAATGCTCGCAATAAGTTCTCTTGATTCATTGTTTTCGGCGGTTTGATTAGAGCTTGTAGAAGATGAGGCTTTTCGTGATTCATCATCAATTTTAACACTAGCTATGATGTTGTTATCATAACTATTTGAAGTGCCATAATTACCTGAAAAATTATTTATACTTGTCATATTGTTATTTGTATTACTCGAACTGTTACTAACGAAGTTATTACTCATATTGTTTATAATTGAACTGTTACTAGCGAAATTACTTGTGTTTATTATGCTACTTGTGCTGCTACTAACGAAATTATTACTATTAACCGCATTATTATTATTATTATTATTATTATTACTGTTACCTATGTATTCATTAGACATAAAATTATTGTAATATTGTAATTCAGTACTAGGAAGCAAATTAGCAGGAGCACCATACATGTTTTCTTGATTTTGCTGAGGAGCATCTATATACACATAAACTTCATGATCCGGAATTGAAGCGTTTACTGATCCATCAAAAGGAGGGAAATATGTTGAGGTGGTTTCTGTATTATGTTCATTATTATTTTCGGCGGTAACGTTAATAAAAGGAACGGTGGTAGTTGCGGTTGGCGTGTTAATAACTCCTGACTCTCTTTGTAATTTCATTTCTTTTTTTCTTCTTCGTTGGAACCACTCGTTAACTTGAGATTCGGTGGCACCTATGGCACCAGCAGCTTTAACTTTTTGTGATTTATCAGGATATTTTGCCTGCTGATATATGCCCTCTAACAATGACAGGTGCTCTTCCGTAAAATGAAATCGCGGTCTTGGTTGTCGTTGTTGAACGACCTGGATTGCCTGCATTGTTTTCTGGTCATCCATTATATTGTTTTTTTAACGAGGCAGAGAAAAAAGATTGATCAAAAAAATTCCCAATTAATAATATGTTGATCGTGCTTATTTATCACATGATTAACATGGTCCGATGTTATCCAATTTACAAAATATATAAAATATATCACAAATATATATATATATATATATATAATTTACGAAATGACAAAAAAATATCATGAGGTAAAGGCTAAAGAAGCGCATTTTAAAAATAAGTGTGTTATTATTTTTTTATATTTATTGTTTATTTGTTAATTAAGGTAGTATAAACGCACAACTGGAACCATTTGATGTTTTGATATATCACAATTATTATGTACAGTACAGTATATAAAACTTTTGATGCTCTTTTTTATTTATTACCTTTCGCGTTAAAACAAAAGAAAAAAAAAAATACTTTCATTATTGGCAAATTATATTACAATTTTTGTCAACATTAATTTGCATAATCATGTACTTTTCTAATTTTTTTTTTTTTAAAAAAAATATACATATATATAAATATAAAACAAATAACAAATCCAGAATACATTATTTATTAATATAAAAATTAAAGTCGTCTAAATTCCGGAGTAGTGAATGATTATAACCTAAAGGGGGGAAACTGCCGGGAAAAATAAAAAGTTAAATTAATGCAAAATCTGAACATATTTTGTATTTGGCAAATGTCATATTTTTATGCATCATGATCGGTTTCTTTGTTTTAATTAGGTAAAATTCTAATTTCTAACTTTTTGTTATTGCTAAGTAAAATTTCACTTCACGTAACCGGTAACATAGATTCAAAATATAAAGAAAAACCAATAGGCTGTAAAATAGCAATAATTTGTATTAATATTGTAGTATTAATAGATGATATTAAAGAAGATATCTGATAAATTGATCAATATTAATTAAACAGATTATAGCTAATTATAATTAGTTAATTGCATATATTAAAAAAATATTAATTTAATAAATAGTATGCAAAATTATTTTTATTTTAACCAGAAAACTAATCACAATACAATAGAAGAAGATAGACTAATTGTAACAAAAATAAATTTAAGATCTAAAAAAAATTAGTTTAAAATATATGATAGGTAGTAAGTATATTAATGAATATAGAGATAAATGTAAACAATTTATGATATTTTTAAATGACCATCTAGTGGAATGTATTTATTTTTTATGTATATAATTAAAATTATTAATTTAAAATCTATAATTAAAAGAAAGAAAAAATGATATGTACTAGTATATTTATAATTATATTATTCTGTTATATACATATTACTTAGATTAGATTATGAATATAATACTATAATTTTAATATAATAATATAATCTAAGTGTAATAATATAAAATATAACAATATAATCTAAATATAATAATATAAATATAATCTAAATAGAATAGTTGTTAACTAATTTAATATTACTATTAAAAATTTTCAGATATGTGATATTTGTTTAATAATATATTAATACCTAATTCTAATAACCCTAACTAATCCTAAACTAATTTTAATTATAATAAATATATATCATAAATAAGATTTGTCATAAAAAAACTGTTTTCTGAATAAATAGTAAAAATAGAAACTGAAAAAATGACATGATATAAAAAATATTTTATTTATAATTATATACAGTATCTGAATTTTTTTGATAGTTATGCTAAAAAAGATATAGCTATTAGAATATTACATTTTTTTTTATAAATGTAACAATTTTGCATAATCTTTATTAATATTAAAATTTACAAATAAATTAAAATAAAATATAAAATACAAAATATCTATAAATTAGCTAAACTATTTTATCAATACAAACCTTACACTTTACAAACTAAACTATTTATTAGAAAACTAAACTAACTAATATATAAATATTAAATATTTATAAGAGAAAACATAATTATTGCTATATTAAAATTTAATCATTATATATTATATGCAAAATTTGTTAAGAAATAAGAAGAATTATTAGGTAGTAATACTTGTATATAAAAGAAACTAAAAGAAGCCTAAGAGATAATGAAGTCATCTTTAATATTATTAGAGATTTTCTATTTTTATATTAATTTATATCTTTTTAACTAAATATTATGAACTAATGTAAAAATGTTATATTTATTCATTTTAATCTATTAAGTATCATAGATGTTCAAACTTTAGTTAATTTAAAGATACCATTTATATCTTTTCTTTACTTAATTCTTATAATAATTAATTGAGAAATATTTTCTTTAGATACAATATAATAAGAAGAATATCTATCTTTAAATAGAATACAAATTCTTGACTTTTTTCAGCAAATAAATAAATTGTCAATATTTTTTTAAAGAAAAAAATAAAAATATCTAAAAGTATTCTTTTTATATGTTGCATAATTATTTTAAATAAAAATAATCATATTCAATATGAAAGTATTTATTTCATAAAATCAGTTATAATAAATGTATTATCTAATTTAAATGTTTTTATATTTTGTGAAAAAATTTTAATTTTCTTAAAAAATGTTGTATAATTAATAAAATAAACTTCTTAAATAAATTTTGTAATAATATAGCTTCTTAATTTCAAAAAATTGCAATTTTAAGATTTGCATTTAAGTGATACAATACTTTTAATCACTACTATATATGTTTATGAGAAATAAATACTAAAGTTTATATCTAATACTTAAAATGATAGCTGATTAAAAGCAATCTAATTTTTTTAACAGATAATATTATGTGTAAACTATTGTCTCTTCTAATCTAATTATTTTTCTTAAAATATATGTCATAATTAATTAGACTAATATTAAATTAGTTTTTTAAATCATTGAAATTTATAAGGTATTATTAAAATTTATAAATTGATGCATATGTAGAATAACTTAGATTTATAATTCTAGATGTAAAATTTATTAAAAAGTATGATTTTAATAGAAAGAAGCATTTAGTACTTATTATAATTAAGTCATAATATATGTTAAGGTTAAATAATATAAATAAGTTAAATCTATCTATAATGATAAGTTAATCAACATATATAATTAACAATAACTTGAACTTGAAAATTACCCATCAGTAAGAATTATAATAAAGAACAGATAAAATAAGTAATAAGTCACTTGCTTGAGATTGTTTATTTAAAACTTATTTTAGATTTAACAAAATGTTTTATCTTTAGTTTTGCTAATTTTTTACTAAAGAATATAATTTCGTATTTTTATATTTTAATATATAGTTTTATCTTTTTAGAATTTCATAGATTTTTAATAAAATTTTAATATAATTTCACTTAAACTTTATTTTTTTTTTTATTTAGATGATTTGCAAAATCTTCTAGCAACCTTATACTGCTATTTGTTTTAAAGAAAAGTCATTATCTAAATATTATTAAAAAATAGAATTATCTTTTTTACTGTAGATAGAATAAAAATTACTATTCTTTGAAAAGTTTTATATTATCATAAAATCAGTTAATAATAGAAAATGATAGTAACTATTCTAATAATTATAATTATAATATACATAGTCTTAAAATTGAATCAAATAGTAATATATTATTATCATCTTAAAAAAATCAAATAATTTTACTTGCATTTGTTTATCATAAAAATGAGGTAGCTGATATTCAAAAGTTAAATATATAGTAAAAATAGGTATACATCTTGATAATCTAAATTATTTTTAAAAGTTTTAAAGAATTTCATAAGATTGTTACAAATTATATAAGATATAAATATAAGTTTATTTTATAAAAGATATAAGAAATAAGCACTTATTAAAAACTATAATTATTTATCTAGCTGTTATTCTTTTCTTATTAAAAATATTTTTTATCTTTACAAATTCATCAGAAATCTATTTAATAATATATTAATTATTATTAAACAATAAAATTAGATATTAAAATATTGAGTAAAACTTTGTGTAATAATAGTAGTAATAAAATATTTTTTCATTAAACTTAAAATTTACTGAATTAAAATCTTTATAATTTATCAAAAAAACTAATTTGTTCTAGTCAACTTAGATATTATTTAGCAAGTAAAAGAAGTTAGCTAGAATTTTAAATAGATCAATTTAAGTCAAGTCAATTAAGTATTTAAACTGAAAGGATTTGATTTAACTTAATTTGATCTGATCTAATTTAATCTAATTTGATTAAATTATTTAAAAAAATGATATATTATATTTGATCTAACTTAAACTTTTTATTTATTATTATTTTTTTTTGTTTTTTCTTATAAAAAAATTGTATATAAAATGATATAAAAATTTTTAATTTGATGATTAATTACAGTTGTATAATTAATATCACTAAAAATTAATTTTTCAATCTTTTTTTGAACTGTTATATTTTCTTTCTTTTTTGACAAAAAAAAACACTTTATTTTATTTAATATAATCTTTAAAAAAAAATCTTATTTTATAAACTTAAATACTTGAACTTATAAAACTCTTATTAAATATTTTATATTTAATTTTTCATTAAAATTGGTTATATGTATTTTTGTAACTTTATTAATACTACAGTATTTTTTTAACTTTATAGAATAATTTGAATACTTTAATCAAAGTTAATTATCTTTCATATCTAATTAAAAGTTATTTAACAGGTTTAATATTACAGTCAACTCTTTCTACAACGAATTTTGATATAACGAATTTTACAATACAACGGATTTTCAGTGTCAGACAGAT